GCCAGCCTGTATAGTGGAAGATGAAAGACTGCAAAAGAGAAAAAAGTATAAAAAAGATAATTGGATGAGATGCAGCTTGGTTGTATGTGCAGGTAACTACAAGAAGCAGAAATTACATCTGTAATCACATTCAAATACCAAGATTCAAATATGTATATGAGCTTGAATTTTATTCTGTAGAGGAACAGGCATGATGAAAGTATATTAGACAGAAGTCTGACCATCAGACATGAACTTTTGAATAAATCACTCTAGTGGCTAAAAGATGAATTTGAGTAAGAAAAAAACTAAACAGGAGAATTAGTAGGTAATTCTGATAAACACAAATAGGGTAATGGTTGTAAGGATGGAGAAGAGAAAAGACATTCAAGAAATGTGTAGAGAACAATATTAGAAGTACTTAAAGATTTCTTGGTTGTGCTGATAAAGGAAACACCGAATCAAAGAAGTCTACTGGTCTAGCCTGAGTGATAGAGTGAAGTGTTACATCATTTTCCACAAAGTTGGTTTTAGGAAAATAATTTACATAGTATAGAGAGCTGGATTAAACTCTAATATTCTATTAATTTTAATTACTGACATATAGAAACTATATATTGTATTTTTGACAATTTTATTCCTAGAGGATTAGACTTTTTATATTTTCAGGACACTTCATCACAATCACTCAGTGTAAATAATTAAAGAAATAGGTTGACGCTAAATAATAAATGGTCAGCCATACATTGTTTAATTGTGTGATTTTTCACAAAATATATTAACCGTGCCACTCTCCATGTATAAGATATCATTTGAAGGAAATTTTATCTCCATTCTCATCCCACCAACCCCAGTGAAGTAGATCAAGGAGGCCAGGTCACAGGCCTATGTGTGCTACATGTAGGTAAACGGACAAGAGAGGTGCCTAAAGAGCATAAGACTTAACATGTTGCACAGCCATTATGGAGTAGAATTAGGAGAAGACCCAGAGTTGTCTAACTCCAAAGCCCAAATGCCTAAGGACCCATACTCAGGTAGTATCTCTGTATTTAGTAAGCTAACTGGCACAGTAAATCTCCAAGTGCAGAATTCTAAGCAGTGTCCCCTGAGTTTTTAGGCCCAGGTGATCTCCCCACTCCATTTCATCAGTGTCTTATGAGACCTACTATCTTTTGCAAAGTTCAGTGGAACACAATTTTTAATTAGTAATTCTAAGTGAAGAGACAATCCAGACAAGGGTGCAGGACAGAATCCGTAGTACTTAGTGTGCAAACATTAAATGATAGAAATATACTAAGAAGTTGGAAAGGTACTAATTGTGTTATTGTATAAAAAAAAATTGCACAACTTTAAAATGTAGCTTTGTTCTAACCACGGTGTCCATGAAGTTATGACTGGAACTAATATAAACATTAAAATTGACTAGTTACTAATTAAAATATAAATATATATATTTTTTTCTTTTTCTTTTTTGGAGAGGTTTTCGCTATAGGGCGCATGCACTCGCCAGACAGACAGAGAGAGACATAGAGACAGAAAGTGAGAAATCACCCCCCGGGGGGATGGTCACGCCGCAATCCCTTCTCCTCCATTCTCCTCTCGGGATCTTGGGCACACAC